GATGATGCTGAAATTTAGGGGCCTTAATTTAAAAATATAAATCCTACAAAAATCCACCTATACTCTTTTATTAAAAACACTAACCCTAAATTCTAATAGAACTATGAAAAAAAGCTGAACAAAACACCCCAAAAAAAATTTACATTTTCATAATAAAATAAGCCAAAATTTCAGCAACATCCCCGAAATTTATTATTTATTTATTTATTTTATTTATTTATTTTTATTTTATTATTTTTTTTGCAAATTTTAAAAATAAAATTTCTTTTTTTGATTTTAATTAAAAGTTAAAGCGTATAGTAAAGTGCGTGGTAAAAGCCGTAGTAAAGTATGAAGTAAAGCGTGTAGTAAAGTTGTAGTATATACAACACGGTTTGAATTAGAGTTTAAACCGGGTTTATTTTTATATGTTAAACCTAGTTTTAATTGGTTTTAACATATGAAAAATAAAGCCACTTCTAAACTCAAGTTTGAATTTTTGTTAATTTATATAGTTTTAAACTTACAACTTTTTATATATATTTACAATCAAAATTTCTCTGATAGCTCTATGACTAGCCACCCAGATTATATATTTATTTATTTAGTAAACCTACTAGAAATATCAATCATCTTCGTTAATCTATCCTCACTCACTGCATTTATTAAATATTCACTGTTATAAAAAGCTTTGCCCATATGAATATTTGAAGTTTTGTGTATCATAGTGGAAGATATTGTAGTACTAGCTGATACGTGTATTTCTTGTAAATATGTTGCTGCTAAGATTCTTGATAAATTTGATTCACGTATTCCTAATTTTTAATGAGTTTTAAGATGAGAACTTTATAAACGTATGCACTCATAAGTATGGCATTTTATAATCAGTACCAACCTCCGCCGGGCATAATAATGATTCGATCTTGTGCTTGTTTTACTAATTCAACAATTGTCTCTAAACCTTCTAGTACCGTACTATCACAACCACTAATGATTTTAAAGAACAATCAACCTATATAAGTATATACAGTATAATAAATATTAACAATTAGTAATTTGAAAATTCAATACCTGGTAAGGATTCTTTGTATGCTACCAATCTTGACGATATCATTAAGAGCTTTAAATGGATCATTTGTCATATCAAATGCTCTATGAAAAGTTACTTTAATAAATTAAAATATTTGGCCGGTGCAAAAATGTAGATACACAAAAACTAAAAATTTATTATATATATATATAAATTTTAACAATTTAATTATAATTTTTTTATATTAAATAAAGTAAGCTTTAAGTATCTTTTAATATATTGTTTATTATAATTTCATTGAATAATAATTTTTTTAAAAATTCAATTTTTTTAAAAAAAGATTTTTTAAAGAAAATTTTTTTATTATTTTTGCCACCAATATATAATTTTATAAGCCTATATTAATTATATATATTGCTATGTATATACTAAATATATAGTTAAAATTTTAGCTTAATTGAATCAGTAGTTATTGGAATATGAAATGCTAAAATTTAATAACCAAATTACTATGTTTTACAAGAATTGTACAATTTTATAAAATATAGTAATTTGATTATTAAATTTCAAAAATTCATATCTTAATAACTATTAATCTAATAAAGCTAAAATTTTAGTCATATATTTAACATATATATAGCAATGCACTTGCCTAATACAAGCTTCTAAAATTGTATATTGGTGACAAAAATAATAAAAATTTAAAATTTTCTTTAAAAAATCTTTTTTAAAAAAAATTGAATTTAAAAAAAATTATTAAATAACAAATTGTCTATAAAAAATATATTAAAAGATAGCTTAGAACTTACTTTATTTGATATAAAAAATTATAATTAAATTATTAAAATTTAAAATTTTTATATATAGAAAAAATAAAATTTTAATTCTCGTGTATTTACATTTTCATACAAATCTTTGAATCGTAAATTAAAAATATAATGATAATGTTTAACCATAATGTTTAATCACAATTTTACAATAAATACTAACCTTCCATAGGACTCGCAATTTCAGCTAACCTAAAAAAAAAAAAAAATTGTAATGAATAAATTTGAAAAATGATGTGCTGAAAAATTAATATTAATTATTACTTGGCAACTCTTTCAACATCTACGCTACCATCAGGCTTTAAAATTCCAAAAACGACTCCATGTGCACCAAGATTTTTCGCATGTTGAATATCCAAACACATTACATCGATTTCTTCTTCAGTATAACAGAAATCTCCGCCCCTATTCACATTAATATAATATTAGCCTTCATTTGGTTATTCATAGATTATTTCATTTACATATACCTTGGCCTTATCATAACCTAAATACATAATTTTGAAGGTTTATTAAACAAATATATATATATATATAAGTATGATAACATAAAAGAAATTCGATGACTTACCATAACAGGAATCTTTAATCGTTTAAGAATCATTGAAATCATTCCTATATTTAAATAACTAAATCCCATAAATTTTATTCAATCTTTGACTCCATATTAACGTAAAATATTACCTGAACTTGGTGTAGTCCCGCCTTCTGCCAAATTATCACACAGCTCAACACGTGATGCCCCTCCTTTTTCTTAATTCAGTAAATAAAAATAAAAAAAATTTATAAAATATCTTACTGTTATTTGTCATCTTTTGAGGAAAAAGGAATATAAGTACCTGCAGTTATAGCGGATATCACAGAATCGACACAAATCTATTCAAAAGTAAATAATTTAAAAATGAACAAACTTTTCTTGCTATTAATATACAGTAATTATAAATTTCACACCTCAAATTTCGGTGTTAGTTTTGACATGTTAAGTTTAATTATTATCGGTGCAAAATGGACCAAATTTATAGTTGAACATCCCCTTGGTACATGGCATTGATTTCATTGGTCTATATATCGTGAAGGCCAAAAGAGGAGTACGGTGACAACGTCAGGCATAACATAATAGCGGGCTTTAATTTGATTGGATGATCGACACGAAATGTTACTCAATATGTTTACATATTGACGTAACGTTTCGCTGTTACAAAGCCGGTTTGGTGGCCACGGATATGAATTGGTGAAGCTTGATACCAAAAAAAAATCGAAAGAATACCTTCCAATCTATAAATTGTCAAAGTAATTCGGTAATCCGCGAAGTAATTCAGAAGTTAGATGAGAGATGTGTTTGAATGTTTAACTGTTAATATCTATAGGTAAAGTAAATCAATTAAACTCGGCAATTAAAGCTGTCTTTTACGTATTTTGTGAAAACTTATTCTTCGTAATCCCAACTAATATAGAAACCTGATTATAATATAGGCTAATAATATGAAATTGAGAGTCATAAGGTTTATAGATTTCGTGAGAAGAGTTAAAGCGTAATGGTACTGTAACTGTATAACGATTTTTTATAAAATTAATGATCAGTTTGATATTGGAGCGTACTATATGTTTGTCTTTGACTATTTTTTATTAGCCATCAGTGTTCTGTAATAGGCTTAAACATTTAGTCCATGCTTTTTTCATTTTTTTGTTTTTGGTTCGTTTTTCGTTTTTTGATTTGTAATATGTTATGATTATTTCTTTAATAAATTTTGGTTTGTCGGAATTTTTGTCTTGGACAAGATTATATAGTTTTAAAATTATTGAGATTTCATGGTAAAGACTTTTGCTGGTATTAATTTCATTATATAGATATAGTTATTTTTATACATGAATGTCGCTAAAAGAAAACCCGAAAATTTAAATATGACTTATATTTAAATTTTCGGGTTTTCTTTTAGCGTCACTCACATATCAGTTTTTTATTCGTGACGATTTAAAGCAGTGCTCCGCAAAACCAAACCAAGACCCGAACCTGAACCTGCTCATTCGGGTCAAGTTCAGTTTCACAATTTTAGAACTGACTTACATAAACCCGCATATATTAACCACCTGACCTTGAATGAATTGATCGATATAATAATAGGGATTCTTTGTATGTTAGACATATATTTCTTTTGCCTGTAAGATTTTAACAATTACATTATCACCAAGAGCAATAGAACCATTTTCATCATCCTTCAGCAGATACAGCATTGGTGAACTTTAAAAATATAGTGAAAGTTACAACTGTTTCTATTGAAGATAGACCAAACCAACCGTCTACTTTTTTTTTATAATTTTTTTAAAACTCCAAGTATAATGCTATATAATCATACTTACCTACTCTTTCCTATCAATTATAGTACTATATAAGCATACTTATCTATCTTTCTCCATCAATTGTAGATTGTGTAAATTAATATTTAAAAAAATATCTGTTTTAGTTTTTTTAGTATAAAAGTTTCTAATAATTACATAGGCAATATTTATATAGATGATCTCTACCTTATAGATAACAATAGCTATATAGACGATTTCTCTATAGAAGTAAACAATTCTTATAAAAATTTCTATATTAATGAACTCAATAATATAGAAACCAGTAATTCATTACAAGTAGAATTAGTTTTTAGCAATAAATCTTCTTTACATTTTAGATAATTTGTATAAAAATATTTAAGAAAAAAAGAATAGTTTTTTCACAAAGTATAATTTGTATTATTCCAAAAAATTAATAAAATATACTAATAGCTTAATATCAAGCTTTTAAAAACACCTCATTGATAAAAAAAAAGGTATTTGAATTAAATAAAAAAGAATCAACTATTTTTTATTGTAGATTTGCTAAAAAACTAATAATCTGTTAATATCTACCTATCTCTTAAATCATCCGGGTTTAGCGGGCAAATTTGCCCGCTAGAATAATTGGTAAAAAGATAAACCTTAAGTAAAATTTTTTTATTGGA